CCAGATCGCTGCATCTCCCAGTAGCAGCAGCAGCAGCAGCAGCAGTTCCTCTCTTACAGCGGTGTCTGCCATGAGCAGTACTTCGGCCGTGGATCCCTCCTTGCCCAGGTGAAATGAGGGTCAGAGTTAGGGCGTGTCAGGGGCTGGTGCCAGGTGATGCCAGGCTCTGGCTGCTTACACTTTATCCTTCCTGCCAGCAGGCCACCTGAGGAGCTGACCTTGAGCCCCAAGCTACAGCTGGATGGTGGTCTGACAATGAGCAGCAGCAGCAGCCTGCAGGCAAGCCCACGTAGCCTCCTGCCTGGCCTGCTCCCAAGTCCGGCCGACAAATTGCCTCCCAAAGGGCCCGGGCAGGTGCGTATGTGGGTGTGTGTGAAGTGCAGTATAGCAGGTGTATGGGAGTGGGAAGGCTGGTGGCAGTCTCCTCCCACAGCACCCTGTCTTCTGGTCCTGCTCTTCCTCAGGTGGTCCATGTTTCCCCTGAGGGTATCTCAGCCCCCGGTGTCCCTGGAGGGCAGATCCTCAGTCTTTCCATCCCCACCTCCTCTCCTCCTGGGCTGCGGCCATTTTTGACCTTCCTCCCCCTTCCCCGTTGTCCCATCTCTCATCACTATACACACCAGCGCTTCGTCTCTGTACTCCTTTTACTCCCACTTCCCACCACCTAAGTTCCCACCTTTGGCCTACCTCAGGTGCCTACTGCTGCCTCTACACTATCCCTGGAGCTGCAGGAAGTGGAGCCCCTGGGGCTACCCCAGGCGTCCCCCAGCCGCACCCGCTCCCCCGATGTTATCTCCTCAGCTTCCACTGCCCTGTCCCAGGATATCCCTGAGATCGCATCTGAGGCGCTGTCCCGTGGCTTTGGCTCCTCCGCTTCAGAGGGCCTAGAGCCAGACAGTATGGCCTCAGCTGCTTCAGCACTACACTTGCTGTCTCCACGGCCCCGGCCGGGACCCGAGCTTGGCCCCCAGCTTAGCCTGGATGGAGGCCCTGGGGATGGGGATCGGCATAGTACCCCTTCCCTCCTGGAGGCAGCCTTGACCCAGGAGGCCACAGCCCCTGACAGTCAGGTCTGGCCTACGGCACCAGACATTACTCGTGAGACCTGCAGCAGCCTGGCAGAGAGGTGAGGAGCTTAGGAGGGGGAAATGTGCTGATGGTAGGGGCTTCAGATAGAGTCATCCACTGCTGAGTTGGCCTGTCCCCCCAGCCCCCGGAATGGCCTCCAGGAAAAGCACAAGAGCCTGGCCTTTCACCGACCACCTTATCACCTGCTACAGCAACACGACAGTCAGGATGCCAGTGCCGAGCAAAGGTAGGCACCACCCCGCACCGTTCCTCTCACAGGGCCAACAAGTGGGTAGGTGCCTATTTCTCTCCATGCCCTTCCCACAGCGACCATGATGATGAGGTGGCCAGCCTGGCCTCTGCTGCAGGGGGTTTTGGCACCAAAGTTCCCACTCCACGTCTTCCTGCCAAGGACTGGAAGACCAAAGGATCCCCTCGGGCCTCACCCAAGCTCAAGCGAAAGGGCAAAAAGGATGACGGGTAGGACGGGTCCTGGGGCCAGGGAGAGGGGTGGTCTTCAGGCTGCCTGCTTGACATGGCCTGAGGCGCTTCTCCTCTATGGCAGGGATTCGTCCATGGGATCCCGGCTCACAGAGCACCAGGTGAGCGAGCAAACACCCTTTCTGCATCTGGGACTCCTGCCTCTGGGGGTGGGGTAGGTTCCAAGCCTTCCCCTGGTCTGGTGTGTGGGGATGGGCGGGGCGGGCATCATGTGACTGTTGGTGTTCCTGGCAGGTGGCAGAGGCCCCTGAGGACTGGCCAGCACTAATCTGGCAACAGCAGAGAGAGCTGGTGCAGCTTCGGCACAGCCAAGAAGAGCTGCTACAGCGTCTGTGCACCCAACTTGAAGGCCTGCAGAGCACCGTCACGGGCCACGTAGAACGTGCCCTAGAGTCACGGCACGAGCAGGAGCGTATCCTTCTGGCACAGCATGGGGCGGCAGCAGCATTCTTGGCCCAGGGAGGGATATGGGACCTGCTGCAGCCCTGTTCCTTAGCTACAATGCAGAACGGCGACTGGAGCGGGCACTGGCCGAGGGACAGCAGCGTGGTGGGCAGCTGCAGGAGCAGCTGACGCAACAGCTGTCCCAAGCGCTATCTTCAGCTGTGGCTGGGCGGCTGGAGCGCAGCATACGGGATGAGATCAAGAAGACGGTTCCTCCATGTGAGTTTCGCGTGGAGACTTCTGGGTGGGCCAGATGGGAGTGGGGCCCCCTACCTGACAAGCTTCTTCTCATGGCTCTACCTTTTCCTCCTCACCCTGTCCCAGGTGTGTCTAGGAGTCTGGAGCCCGTGGCAGGCCAACTGAGCAACTCAGTGGCCACCAAACTCACAGCCGTGGAGGGTAGCATGAAAGAGAATATCTCCAAGCTGCTGAAGTCCAAGGTGCTGTGGGGCCCGAGGTGAGGGAGGTTGGTGGTTGGTGGGCTTGGGCTCAGCTTTCAACTCAGGCCCCTTCATCCACCCCCAGAACTTAACAGATGCCATTGCCCGAGCAGCCGCAGACACGTTACAGGGGCCAATGCAGGCCGCCTACCGTGAAGCCTTCCAGAGCGTGGTACTGCCCGCCTTCGAGAAGAGCTGCCAGGCCATGTTCCAGCAGATCAATGATAGCTTCCGACTGGGCACGCAGGAATGTGAGTAGGGTCATATGCCCCAAGAAGGGAAGGGCTATCGTCTTCTCCCTACCATCCCTCTCATGGCCCCCATGGTCACTTCTCAGACTTGCAGCAGCTGGAGAGCCACATGAAGAGCCGAAAGGCACGAGAACAGGAGGCGCGGGAGCCCGTGCTGGCCCAGCTGCGGGGCCTGGTCAGCACACTGCAGGGAGCCACGGAGCAGATGGCGGCTACCGTGTCCAGCAGCGTTCGGGCTGAGGTGCAGCACCAGCTGCACGTGGCTGTGGGCAGGTGTGTGGGCAGGGCACTGAGCAAGGTGGTGGGTTTGGAAAGGGCCAGACCCAACTGCCTGTCAGCCTCATCTCCCTCACTTGCCTTTGCAGCCTGCAAGAGGCAATTTTAGCGCAGGTGCAGCGCATTGTTAAGGGTGAGGTGAGTGTGGCACTCAAGGAGCAGCAGGCTGCCGTCACCTCTAGCATCATGCAGGCCATGCGCTCAGCCGCTGGCACACCTGTCCCTGCCACCCACCTCGACTGCCAAGCCCAGCAAGCCCATATCCTGCAGCTGCTGCAGCAGGGCCACCTCAATCAGGCCTTCCAGCAGGTAAGCCAGGCACTAAGCCCAGATAGAGTCAGGAGTCTCCTGACAAGGCCCACACATCATACATTCCACTCTACCCATCATGCTTTGGGTGGTCTGGCCTCAGCAGACTCTTTTTGGTTCTCTTTGGCCTCCAGGGCATTTCCCTTGCTTTTCCCTCTGGACCCTGGATCCCTTTCTTCCTACCTCAGTCTACCTAGTTTCAGAACCACCCTTCTCAGGAAAACTTTCCTGATTCCCTAGAGTAACAACACAGCCCTACAGTGCTCTCTCTGGGCCCCAAAGCATCCCCCTCAGGATGCCCTACTCTGGTCATCCTCTCCCAGGCCACATAGCCAGACAAGCAGGCATTCCATCCTGACATTAACTATAAACTCTGTTCTCTACTCAGGCCCTGACAGCTGCCGACCTGAACCTGGTGCTGTACGTGTGTGAAACTGTGGACCCAGGCCAGGTTTTTGGGCAGCCACCTTGCCCCCTCTCCCAGCCTGTACTCCTTTCACTCATCCAGCAACTGGCCTCTGACCTTGGCACTCGAACTGACCTCAAGCTCAGGTGAGTGGGCATAGTCAGGGACTAGGGCTGTGGTGAAGGGCGGGGAGCAGTTCAAAGCAGCGACTCCCACTCCTGCCTGACTCCCCTCCTTAATTTTCTCCACCAATCCCCTCTGTACCCACCCATCTCAGGCTTTGAGGCCTCCATTATCAGCCTCTGGGCCTCATTGCCACCAGGGGGCACTCCTCTCTGCTGGAGGTCACCTGTAGCCTGTCCTTTTCCTAAACCCCCAGCTACCTGGAAGAGGCTGTGATGCACCTGGACCACAGTGACCCCATCACTCGGGACCACATGGGCTCCGTCATGGCCCAGGTGCGCCAGAAGCTCTTCCAGTTCCTGCAGGCGGAGCCACACAACTCACTTGGCAAAGCGGCCCGGCGTCTCAGCCTCATGCTGCACGGCCTTATGACTCCCAGCCTCCCTTAGCTCAGCCTGCCTTGCCCAGGATGGGGTGGCACTGAAGGTCAGCAGACAGGCCTAGGCCAAAGCAGGGTCATGTCTGCCCTTTACCTGCTCAGGCTCCCACCTCTGGCGTGTTTGATGGGGATAGCACTGGCTATGGTCTATAGGTTGTGGTAGCCAGCAGGTTAGGCTGGGCCCAGGGTGGGTATTGTGCCTTCTTGGGTTCTGCCATGCCTGGAGCATGACCCCTGAGATTATGACACCACTTTAGTTGAATTTCCCATGTTCCTTTTTACCACCAGTTTGGTTCTTTTTGTTTTTGAAAAACATTGAGAAATTCAATTAAATGATTTTGGAATAAAATGGAGTATGTGTGTGCTTTTCGTATGTCTTTGGCATGACTTTGATAACTGCCCTTTGTTACCTGCCCCCTCTCCTGGAGCTCTGTCTAGGCCAACCCACCCCAGGGCCCTGGACAGCCACCCTCATCTGCCCAACTGCCTTCTCAGATCTCCACTCTCCATCTCTGAGGCAAGGCAAGGGCCCTGGGATCAGCTCAGCACCACCCCGAGCTCCTGGGTTCTCCTCTCTGGAGTCCCTCCCTTCTTTGCCTATCTGAACTGGGGGGCGGGGCTGCTGGCTGGTTTGAGCTCCACCGTCACCCCCCATCCAATCACAGTTCCTCCTTCTGGGGGCTGGGCCGAAGGGCTGCGCTCCAAGCTGCCAGCTCTGGCACTAGGCTCCCAGCCCAGGGAAGATGTGCTGCCGCTTCTGTCACCGCTGGCAACCGCCCTGTGCACTGGGGCTGTTGCTGCTGCTGCTGCTGCCCCTTGGTGAGTGCCGGCGTGCTGGACCCAGCCCAGTCCACACACCCCGTCCCCAGGCTGAGTGTAGGTTGTGTGGGAGCTGAGGCACAGCCCTCCTGAGCGCTGAGAGTCAGGGTGGAGAGGAGGTGAGAGGGCTCCAGGGAGGGATTGTGTGCCAGTGGCTTTAGGATGTAAAGTGAGGGTGGGAACTGAGCCCTAGTTTCGGAGGGAAGAACCCCCAAATTCCACAGTCCCCATCCTGATAAAGGGAGACTTGACCTCTTGAGGGACTCCCAGACCAACCGTGGGATCTCTGAGGTCCTCTCTTAGGGTCGAACCTGGATCCCAACCCCCTCTACTCTGCCCTACCCATCAGAAAACACCTGTCTCTGGGGAGGGGATGGAAAGGCCAAACAAAGATTGTCTAGGCTGCAGAGAAACTGGACCTTGCCAGGGGACCTGCCTCCTTTCACCATGTCCACACTCTCATTTGGACCATTCTCACCTGACCTGGGACCCAGAAGCTCGGAAGAAGAGCCAGCCCCTGGGACAAGACTTCTCCTTCCCCCATCCCCACCTATCCTGGCCAGGTCTGCCTAGAAGGGGGCAGAGGCAGGTGGTCCCCAGATGTGCCCCTTAGTTCCCTGGGGTACCCCTTTCACGCTGAGTCACGTCCCCAGAACGCTCCCTGGTAAACAAGCCCCTGGGGTTTGGCGGCGAGGGGCGGGGATGGTGAGGGCGCGCCACCTCATCCTATCAACTATTCTCCACCCCCACCCCCAGTCCTTGTATCTCCCCTGGCAGCAACCACAGCGGTCCCAGGCCGCTGTGACACCATATACCAGGGCTTTGCCGAGTGTCTCATCCGCTTGGGGGACAGCATGGGCCGCGGAGGTGAGCTGGAGAGTGTCTGCAGGTACGGGCAGGCGTGAGGGCAGCAGCCCAGCCCCACACCCTTGGGGTCCGAACCTCTTCCCTCCCATTCCAAAGCCCCCTGCCCAACCTAATTACCCTAACCCCACACCCTTGACAGGTCTTGGAATGATTTCCACACCTGTGCCTCGCAAGTGCTGTTGGGCTGCCCTGAGGAGGCCGCCGCTGTGTGGGAGTCACTACAGCAAGAAGCTCGCCGGGCCCCACACCCAGATAATTTGCACACTCTGTGCGGCACCCCTGTACGCCTTCAGGAGCGCGGGGCGGGCCCAGAGACCAACCAGGAGACGCTGCGGGCAACAGCGCCAGCACCCACTCGGGTCCCCGAGCCCCCTCTGCTGGCAGCTGCTTTGGCACTCGCCTGCCTCCTGGGTCCTCTGGCCTAGCCGGTCTGGCCGGGTAGCAGCGTGTCCC